TATACTAATACATGATTTTATATACAGATATCAAGTATAAATACGACAATCAGCAACATTGATGCAGCAGGGTTGCGGTGGTGTAGTGGAGAGGCTGGTCTGGATTGCATGGATGGGGTCAGCTGTTCGAATCCTGTCAGGACTATTGACTAAAACTATGCTGCAATGTTTGATTTTTTTTTCTTTTTTAAATCACTTTTTTAAATCACTTTTTTTTTACTTTTTAAAGAAACAAATAAACACCCTCTCGTACATCTTAGCCTCCGGGGTCATAGGGTTGGGATTGGGGTTTAGTGTTTAGTTTTTAGAGCACCCTCTCGTACATCTTAGCCTCCGGGATTGTGTTCCATTTTGCACTATTGCGCATGCGCACAAGCTGTTTTACGGAGAACAACGGACTGCCGGATCTATAGCCCTGAAGTTACGGTACGTAGGCGTCCGGCTGCCGTCAGTGCCGGACCAATATCCACTTCCTTTTTCAAAATGGCAAACAAACTATCTTCATCTTCTTCTGGCCTCCTCAAACTGGAGGAACAGCTCACCTGTCCTGTGTGTCTCACCCACTATACCAACCCTAAAATCCTACCCTGCCATCACTCATTCTGTCAGCACTGTCTGGAAGGATTACCACTGGATAAGAAGAGTGAGACCTATTACCTCTCTTGTCCCACTTGTCGTCATGATGCAGAGTTACCAGAAGAAGGAGCAGGAGCCTTTTCTGTAGCATTCACTCTCATCACCCTCAAAGAGATATACAGTGGAATGAAGAAAGTAGATGATCCTCAACAGGTTACCTGTGACAAGTGTACTACAGCTAATGCCACTGGATACTGCAAAGACTGCAGTAAGTTCCTTTGTACAGAATGTGATGGAGTACACAAGAAATGGGGGCCTACTTCGAACCATCAGCTGACAAGTCTTGATAAGGTGACAGTCTCTTTCTCTTCTAATCCTCAATTGCTAGCTCCAGCTAAACAGGAGGCAACCCTCACTTGCTCTGTACCTAGTCATGATGAGCCATTGAAGTATTACTGTGACACATGTGATGAATCTATTTGTCATGATTGTACATTTGGTACTCATAAAGGCCATGAGTATAACTTAGTCTCTATCAGTTATACTAAACACTCTCAAGACTTGGAAGGTTCTCTTAATCCGGTAAAAGGGAAAATTGAAGCACTCAAGAAGGTCATGTCTGCTCTAACAGAGAGAGAGGGTGAGATCAAAAAAAGAGGAGAAGAAATCTTAGAAGAAATACATGACATGGTTGAGAAAATGGTGGATGTTCTTCATCAGTCAGAGAGGAAACTGACTGAGCAGGCAAAGAGGGTCACTGATGCTAAACTGAAGGTGCTGTTGGGACAAATGAAATCAGCAGAAATAAGTTTGAGTCTTCTGGAGGACATTGAAAATTATGTGGAACAGAGTCTGAAGACAAGCATTCCTCAAAAAGTCCTAAGGTCTAAGAAACAGATGATGGAACGTATGAGTGAAGTTACTGCACAGGTCAATGTGGAGGAGTTATATCCAAAGGAAATGGCTGATTTCGTATTAGTTAAAGATATCAAATTGCTACATCACATTGGAGATGTTATCTCTCCAACACAATGTAAAGCAAAAATTGGCTGCTTCGAGTGGTTACCAAAACAAGAAAATGTGGTCTTTTCACTATCAATAGAGGCACCAGATTCATCTTATTTGTCTGTTCTTCTCTCTTCTCTCAGGTGTAGTCTAGTACCAGTTGGTAAAGGTGATCAAACCATTCACACTACAGTCACCACCAGCACTGATCCTGGAGTGTATAGGATACAGTGTAACCTTTCAACACATGGTACTCACACAGTAAAGGTACAAGTATATGGTATACACCTTGAGGATACCTCACTAGTCATCCCATTCAATCCTTACCTTGATAAAATCACTCCATTACGTACTGTAACTGAGCTTAATCGTCCCTGGGGAGTTTGTGTAAGTGATGATAATCATGTTATGATAGCTGAGTGGAATGGTCACTCTGTAACAATACTGGATAAAGAAGGAAAGAAAGTGAAATCATTAGGAGGGGTAGGAGGAAGTGGTAATGTAAAGTTTTCTTTTCCTCGTGGTATAGCTTTTACTCCAGATAAATTCATTCTTGTATCTGATAATCACAGGATCCAGAAAATAAACATGGATGGATACCGCATAGCATTAGTTGGTGAGGAGGGAAGTGGGCCACTACAATTCAAACGTCCTGCGGGTATAGCCATTTCTCCTATAACAGGACAGATTTATGTTGCTGATAGGTATAATCATCGTATACAAGTCTTGAATCCTGATCTAACCTTCTCTCATTCATTTGGTAGTGAAGGATCAGCCGATGGAGAGTTCAAGTGTCCAAATGACATTGCTATTGACAGTCAAGGATTAGTGTATGTTACTGATTTTGATAATCATAATATTCAGAAGTTCTCTCAAGATGGAAAGTTTATTAGTCAATTTGCTACTAGAAGTGGCCCTGGACGGCTTATTAAGCCAGTTTGTGTAACAATAGATACTACAATGACTGGTCTAGTGTATGTTAGTGAAATGGGTAGTAATCGTATCTCAATCTTCACTAGTGATGGTGTATTTGTGCGTTGCTTTGGAAGGAAGGGAAAAGAAATAGATCAGTTTAGTGATCCATATGGATTAGTATTTAATAAAGATGGCTTTTTATGCATTTGTGATGCAAAAAATTCCCGTTTACTAGTTATTTAACTAAATATTTTATTAATAATTATTTCTTGTTTGTATTTGTTTGCTGCTTTGCTTTCTTTATTGTCATAAAATATTTTAATTTAAAAGTTTTTATTTGGTGTTTACGAAGGATATCTAAGTCAGTAAGATTTTAATGAGTATGATAATAGTATCCACTTTCCACTCATGACATTAATTACTGTAAATTTGATAGAGCTCATTGTAAATTAGGTTAGAACTCCTGCCTCCATGTAAGACTACTGACTGGAGGTAATTTGTATCAGTAACAGTAACACAAGTAGATCCAGTACTTTGTATGTGATAGCATATGTAAGTGTGAAGTTGTTTACTTGTTAGAGGAATCATGAAGATGTGTATTGATAAAGAGAGAGTGAGAAAGAAGAGAAGGAGGAAAGGAAAAAAGGACAGAGTTTTTGATGGTTTAGACATCTTCTCTTCTGGTATAGAAGATCTACTGCCTGACTTGCTGTCTACTGCAGCTTTTTTGAATGAGTGAGAGTGGCTACCATTAATTGGTCTACTGAAACAGTAGTTCCACAGTCCAATATTTTTTCGCCATTGAGACACATCAATCATCTTGTACTATAGCAATGAAAGGAATTAGGTAATTAGTGAGCCAATCAGTATGCACACTCTTAGCTACACAATCAGGAAAGTAGGACTACTTTTCTACAACACTAGCCAGGGCAGAAGCTTAGACTATAGGTAGAATGATGGGTTTATTTGTTTATAGCTATGTGCAATAACACTGCATGAATATCATTAGTGTCACTATATCTTTTGATGTTAATCTATGTGATGTGCATGTGTGTGGC